CTCGTGAGTTCCCAGAAACAAAACCGTGAGGGCGTAGTCGGGGCTCAAAGCGGACAATATCGTGCTACGGTGGTGGAGCGGGCCCGGAAAATGGTCTGCCCCGGGCCGGGATGTGACATAAATAATCTTTAATTAAATTTCATTAAACATTTGGCCATATATTATTTAACAATTAACGAACAAATTATGTGAGACTAGTACGAAATCGTGATAAAAAAAAAAAAAAAAAAAAACTGAGAGACTTGAAAATACAAAATGTAAATTATCTAACATTTTATTATCGTTTGTCCAACAAGTTGACAAAAGAAAATGGAATCTTGATTCTTAATTCCAAGTCTATTGCTAAACAAGTGGCAGAAGCAGCAGCACTGCAATGTTCCGAATAGGGATAAGCACCGGTTATGGCGAGCAGGTAACCGCGGTTATTTACTCATAACCATTTATATTAATACCCGCATAACCGTTTACCCATTGGGTAATTGCATAAACGATTATACTCATACCCATAACCGTTTATAAACGGTTAACCATACACATAACCGTGTACCCATTTAACCATAATCGTTTGCCCATTTAACCATAACTGTTTATCCATTTACTCATTTTTGAACCCGTTTATCTTTTTTTTTTTACCCATTTATCCCTTTTTTTCACTCGTCTACATGTTTTGTTTTAACAACTTGAAAATTACAAAAGAAAAATTTGTCATAATTTTAGTTTTCTGACAATTAAACACCGTTATAAGTACATTTTAGCATGCATTTCCCTATTTTAATCATTTAAGTCCTCATATAATTCTAATAATTGAAATAATAGTTTACGAACGATATTTTTCTGCTACACCCAAGCAAGTCTTTAATTATAATTCATATAATTACAAAGTAAAACTTCTAAAAACAAAAAGTAGTCATTATCTTGAATACCAGATGATTCAATGCTTCAAGATATTCTGAAACTAAACACTTTCGAACACTAATGTTTTAGCACGTTCAATCACAAAGTCTCATCGATTCATTGTCACCAAAAGAGGCCTACAAAAGAAATGTATCAATTGAATTAGTATCCCATTTAGGAACATCGACACCAATTGTGCGGGTGCAGTTGGTTTCCTCCCTCCATTTTGGTATTGACTTCATTTTTCTATGCAAATATATGTAGTTGATTTTGGGTGACAATGACCCTTTTGTTTGACATTGTGTAATTGTAGTAAAAAATTACTCTTTGTTTTTCTGCTTTCATTAGATTTCATCATCAAAATCATTCAACTTTCCTGGATTAGTTTGATAGCCTCATAATTATGCTCTTAAATTCTTTTTTTGTTTTTTAGATACTTTGCATTATCTGTTGTTTATAAACTGAAAGTTTCAATATGTGAAGGTTTGGGCGTATGTCAAGAAGAGCATCATGGCTTGGACTTATGCTTCAAGAAAACTCATGACTCATCTGTAATAGAAAATTTTAGGGTTCTTAATTTTTTTTTTTAATTTTACATATATTAAATTAAATAGGTAAATAGGTACCCGTTATCATCCCGGGTAATACCTATAACCGCTCATTTAAATTTCACAGATAAACGGTTATAGTTCGTCTAAACGATTACCTATAACCGTAATAGTGAACTTTAAATAGGCAGGTAACCGCGGTTACCCAAACTCATGGGTATTTTGCCCATCTCTAGCTCCAAAAGTCCCAATGTCGGCAAACGTGACAATCTCCGAACAGCCTCTCATGATTGGTAATGTTCTAAAAAAATGTTAAGGAGACTTTCTAAAATGAAAGAGGATCATTTTAGATTCTTTTTATGAGGATTCCGGAGATCTTCAAATCGTGTTCGTTCATCGTATATCATGCGGTCAGTCTCATCAAGTATTTTTCATATTTAATTTTAAATAAAATTATTTAAAATGATTTCTAACCGCACGATGTACTATGAACGGACACGATTTGAGGATTCTCATTCTTCTCAAGTTACTTTCTTTATAAATTTTGTGCTATTTTATAATTTAATGTTTATTTCTGTATCAAAATTATAAAACATTATACATAAAACATGAGGTGATACTAAATTCATGAAGAGTCTTTTGATAGAGTTCCTTTATCATTTCTCAAAATTTCATTACAAACCTTGAACCTTCCATTCTAGTCTTCTCAACCAAACGTGACTCAACACTGTGGTAGGGACCCAACGTTAGCCAATTACTATGTTCGGACGGTGAATTGAAAGAGACGTAAACCTGCCTGAGCCCGTACCCTTGAAGTTGAAGCACTCAGCTTAAGCATGCGCACGCCTTGAGGAGCCAAGGACAAGGTACAAAAAACATGGACGACTTTAGAGTCTCACAGTTGGTTATGTGTTTTAACAGAAATTTTATTTAAACCCAAATAACCTTACTCTACATCCAATTTAAATTTTAAATGTGAATGATCTTTTTTATCTTATTGTATAATTATTATTAAGTACAAGATAAATAAACAATAAAACTAAAAATTATTAATAAACTCACACCCAATAGTCAACTATTTGTCATCACGCAACCTTTTGTGAATTCGGGTTCATTAAGCATTATGAGAAGATTAAGAAGACAATATGACCTTTTTTTTGGGCATCCAGGTATCCAATTTTCCTCTTCCACCTCCTCCAGATACTGATGCCCTGGATAAAGAAAAGCGTTGCTTGAAGAGTCTTCAAGCACTTGACAAAGATGGAAGACTGACACCTCTAGGGAGGGCCATGGCTCATTACCCTATGAGTCCTCGTCACTCTAGGATGCTCCCTATTATTCAAGTCTTGATTAAGAAGAAGAGTTTCGAGGCTAATTTAGTGCTAGCATGCGTAGTTGCAGCTACTGCTGCTTTGAGTTTGAAGATAACCACAAAGAAAGCTACGGCTTAAATGAGGACGGGAACATTACAATTATACACAAGCTAGAGAAGTTGGGAAGGAATAAACTAAAAGAACGGTGAAAATGTTCCATGAAATTTTTTCTAATCCCAGCAGTGATACTCTATTTGTCGCTTTTGCTTTATAGTGCTATGAACTTGCAGAGATCCTAGTGGAATTGGAATTTATCGAGAGCAGCTTTGTAGGGAAAATAACATATGCTTTGATTTTGGGTTTCTATTTTAAATGGGTATAGAAACAAATTTGCGTATTGAATTGGGTTTGTTAGGATAATTTAGATAGTAAATTTGAGTTTAAAGAGATATTAATAGTTGAATTACAAATAATTAGGGTGTAGAGAGTAAGTTGAGTGTGAAAAGAGGTTATATGGGTTCAAATAAAATTTCCCGTCTTTTAATTCTTTCTCGAAAAATCGATTCACTCTTTTAGAATTATTTATATTGTAAATTTTTTTATTGTTTATAATTTGATAAAAAAAAATACAATAACCAAGATTTAATAATTTAAAATTTAAAATCAAATTTAGCGTGAGTGTTCAGAAAATGAAAATTGTTGTTTGAAAATGGCTTCTCTAAAATAAATATTGGGTTAACTGCATTTTGTACTAAAAGGTTTGAAAGTCATTTGTAAAATGAGCCACGAAGTTTTAAGTTTGGCATTTTATGCCATGTGGTTTCTGAATTGCACTAATTTAATGTCTCCGTCAATTTAACTGTCTAATTAGACGTTGAGTGCTGATATGACATAGACATGACCCACATTTAAACACTTGTTCACTGTTAATTTCAATGTTTAACATTTACTCTTTTACTTTTTAATCATTTTATGAAATTAACAGTCAGTGTGTGCTTAAATATGGACCCAATATATGTCACATTAGCACTTAATGTCTAATTAGACCGTTAAGTTGACGGAGTGTTAATTTGGTGCAATTTAGAAACTATGACGTGTAAACGCAAAAAATTGAAATTTCATGGCTCATTTTGCAAATGACCCCAAAAACTTTGTGGTGTAAAATGTTGTTAGCTCTAAATAACTTATCAAATTACGATTTCATTTTGAGTCAATTTGACCACAAAAAGATATTCAAAATTGAATGCAAAACCGCAGAGGTAAGCGTTTAGAACATGATTTAATGCTCCAAGTGTGCGATTTAGGTTTTACTTTTGTTCTTTTTTGTTACAAGGCCTTCCATAGTAAGCAGGAAAAAATGAGTGTGATATTAATATATTGGACTCATAGTGTGTAACATCTTTGCAAACCACACTCACTCAAACTACTTTTGAAGGCCAAAGCAGCTTGTTTGCAAACAATAAAATATGACTCTTCACAAAGCCAAACATTGTCCTTACATTTTATTACAATTCGAGAGGCACCCCACTCTCATCTGAAAAAGAAAATTTGAACTTGGAACCGCAAAAATAAAGTAGTCTAAAAACTTGACTATAGTTTGAGTGTGTGATTTAAAACATGATTGATCCTCTTTGTGAGGATCCTAGAGATCTTCCAATTGTATTCGTTCATCGTATATCGTGCGGTAAGAAATTATTGTAAATTTTTTTATTTAAAATTAAATATAAACAGTACCTGACAAAAACTGACCGCACGATGTACAATAAACGGATATAATTGAAGAATCTCTGGGATCCTCACAAAGAGGATCGGTTATTTGTACCATTTAAAAGAAGTACGATTCTCTTCTCTTCTCTCCTCTCCCATTCTCTATTTTATCTTTCTCTTTGTATAAAAAAATTAACATAAGATATTAATATTATTTAACCGTGACCGGAGGAAATAAGAAAATCCTACTCCCATTTAAAATGCGTAGAAGACTCTGACTTTAGGGGACCAGAGAGATTTAAATTTGGGTTTGTAATTTAGTAGGACCAGCTCTTTGCTCTTTTGACGCGTGGTCTTGTCTTGTTTCTTTGAAACAATCTTTTCTTTGGATTGTTTCTTTGAAACAATCTCTTCTTTCTTTATCTCCAACCAGATATTTTCATTTGCATTTTTCCTTTTCGTTCTGATATATTTGTCTCTCTATTATTTGCTGCTGGGGATATTTGGTGCTTGAATTGTTGGAGGGTTTGAGATTGGGATGGAGGAGAGGTATGAGGCAATGAAGGATCTTGGCTCTGGGAATTTTGGAGTGGCAAGGCTGGTCAGAGATAAGAAGACAAAGGAGCTTGTTGCTGTCAAATACATAGAGAGGGGGAAAAAGGTCATTGCTTTTCTCTTTTTGTGTTCTTTTTTCACTTCATTTATTTATTGCTTGAATAAAAAATTGAAATGTTTGGACTTTTTTTATTTTTTTATGGAAATGTTACTGCTAATAGTTGTAGAGTTTGTGATGTAGTTTAATTTTTGGATGATTTAAGGGTTGTGATTTTTATATCTGCCTGCTGAAAGAAAAGAGTTAGTGGGTTTTTGTTTGGAATTGTGTGTTTCTTTTCCCATTTAATATGATGGGATTAAAGTTTCAAAGACGGTTCAACTGCCCATGCTAATTACCATCGATATTGTCCCCAACTAAATCACCGATATAGTCCCCTGAGGAATGGCTTCAACAAAGTCTAATGTAGTTAACTCTTGTTCTGCTATGTAAAATTACGATGCTTCTTTATAATTTCAGCAGCTGAATATATATGCCGTAACGAATGCCGTTCATCAAGTTCTGAGTTGTGTGATACTGCTTGTTTTTCTGATCCATGAAATGTTCAACTTCATACCTTATAGCTGCGTTTGTTAGAGATGCTGTAGTTTGGATATGACAAATTTCCAAATATTGTCCGAGTTGAAGGCAAAAGATGGAGTATTCGAAAAGCCTGGTATATTTCTGTGAAGTCAAGCACGCTTCTGAAATATTTATGAATAAAGATAGTGTACCAGTTGACTAATTCCGGTTGCATTTTAGATGTTGAGTTGCAGTTAGGTAGTGCCTACTCTACAATTCCCATCATGCGGAGTTGTGCTCTCAACCTTTTTTGGCACATGATTGTGTTTTGTATCGCTGTAACTTCTAAGTGTATAATTATATCCTTTTTATCATTAGTTAAAGCTGGATATGCAAATTAGGGCTCGAATGCATAGCTATTGCCTTAATTGTCTTTTGCTCGTGTATTTTGGATAACATTTAGTCATCTGATTCATTTCTAGCATTTTCTTCTCGTTGCGTACCTATCATGAATATATATTTTAGTAGGGATATAAATTCTTTTTCGGCTTTCTGAGTTTCAGATTGATGAGAATGTTCAGAGGGAAATAATAAATCACAGATCGTTGAGGCATCCAAATATTGTCAGGTTCAAAGAGGTAACAATAACTTTGTATTGATTCGATTGTGTATTTACATGCACTTCCGGGGGTGCATGTCTCCATGTTTGCGTTTTTCCCTTCCCAGCATGTCATTGTATTATATAATTTTCGGTTAGGATAATCATCAGTCAAACTGGAAGTGATAGCATAGAGCTAGGATAAGGCAGTCTTGCGTTGTAACTTGTACATGAACAGAAGAATCATTTTTGGCTGCAGCTCTTGCTGACTCCAAGTCATTTAGCAATTGTCATGGAATATGCAGCTGGCGGTGAACTTTTTGAGAGGATATGCACTGCTGGTAGATTTAGTGAAGACGAGGTTAGCTTGTTTAGTTTATTTGGCACGTTTGATTCAAATTCCTTTACTTTTTGGTGCCTATCGAAACTATATGTAACTGTTAGTTTTTCAGACTGATTGTTTGACGGTAGTTCCCCTTCATGACAGGCAAGGTTTTTCTTCCAACAGCTGATATCCGGAGTCAGTTATTGTCATGCCATGGTATATTTATATTTGACAAACAGAGAGACATGCACACACATAACCAAATGTTTCTTGTTTAGAATTAGTCGAGTTTCTCTTCTTACATTTGGCTGTAATTTTACCGCAGGAAATTTGTCACAGGGATCTGAAACTGGAAAACACACTCTTGGATGGAAGTGCTTCACCACGTCTTAAAATATGCGACTTTGGTTACTCCAAGGTTATTATGAATTTCTTGTTGAATAAACTTTGTTTAGTTCAGTTTACGCAGATTATTCTGGTGCTCTGTAGTCTTTTTTACCCATTGTTTCTTAAACAATTTTTTGGTTAGCATCTACTTGCCTGATATGTATAATATATGTATATATATGTAAATTTATATTATTTACTACCTTGCAGTCTGCTATATTACACTCACAGCCAAAATCAACTGTTGGAACACCTGCATACATTGCTCCGGAGGTTCTGTCACGGAAGGAATATGATGGAAAGGTATCTAATTTCTATTTGTTTCCGCAACCAGCCTCAAAAATTCAATCATATTGTGGGATTTTACTGTATGTTGGACAAAAGTAGTTCTGATCATGTAGTAGCTTACACATAATATCATCCGAACTGATACAAACCAATTATACAGTTCATACAATGTACCATAGTATTTGCTTTCTAAGTCGGTACAACTTGGTAGATTGCAGATGTTTGGTCCTGTGGTGTGACGTTATACGTGATGTTGGTGGGAGAATATCCCTTTGAGGATCCTGAAGATCCTAGAAACTTTCGTAAGACCATTGAGGTGAGCTTAACCTTCATCCCCCCCACACACACACATGGTAGTTGTACATTGTGATCTTAATTCCAAAGGGTTATGGCTTTTCGTTCCAACAATCAATTCATTGCAACTTCTGAAACAGAAAATTATGAGTGCCCAGTACACCATACCCGACTATGTACGTGTTTCTGCAGACTGCAAGCAACTACTTTCTCGTATTTTTGTTGCCAACCCTTCTAAGGTAACATGAGTTTCTATTGTTTCATTTGTGTTCACTCGATGCACAAGAACAATGTACGGACTATGGAGATAAATGTATAAAACAGCACTGACAATCCTTGGTCGTTGTAGAGGATCAGTCTTCCTGAGATAAAAAAGCACCCTTGGTTTCTGAAAAATCTGCCGAAAGAGCTAATTGAGGTCGAGAGAACAAACTACGCGGTAGTGGAGCGTGACCAGCCTAAACAGAGCATTGAAGAAATAAATAAGATCATATGCGAGGCAAGGACACCAGGGGAAGGTGGATCCAAAGCAGGAGGTCAAGCCGTTGCTGGGCCGTCCGACTCTGGTGATCTAGAGACTGATTTGGACTCCGAAGTCGATGTCAGTTGTGGCTTTTCAGGCTATCCGTGAGCATGATATCGGAAGGATTTGTTCTTTTTAGAGTTTGTTTACACACACAAAAAATACTTCGCTTGGACATCTCACATTTATGGTGTTGATCACATTCATGCTATGCACATTTGTACAAATAATTTGAACATATTGAAGTGGGATTGAGTTATTTCCATTGTATGTAGATTGTATTTGGACATGTTTTGTGGAACTTATCTTCATAAGTCAGATGGCATGATCTGCATAATTTAAAGCATCCAGTATTTAATAAACTTTTGAATAATAATGATATTTCCAGAATGGATTGATAAAACTGGAGTAGTGTCCCACTGTTTTGGTTCTTGAACTACAAATTCATTTCGTCCAAAATAAAAGGCTGTAAAGGGTGAACAAGAGGAGTTCTAGTGGTGTTGCCCAAAAGATCATTGCTTCACATTGTGACAAATTCAGACATCAATATTCACAAAGTTTCAGTTCATGGACCGAAACTTCAAGTGGATCAACATTTAGATACCAATGTTCATATTTTCTCGAGTGGATTTTAATCATATAACAAGTGTGTAAGCTTGCCTATCACTAGTGGGTCTTCTAATTACGAGTTCATTTTGGATGGGGCAACATGATCAGTGGTTGGTCATACCACTCTTACAAAAAATTAAAGTCCCTACATTGTGACCTCATCTGACCTAAATCTGGTCCTATACTATGTGAAGTGAGAGTTCCATAAAATTTTGTTCTAGCAATGCGACGATCTGAGAGCTGTACAAATTCATTAAAATTGTAAGAAACAGAGAGGTCTTGCATCAATAGCGTTTGTAGTCCAACGGTTAGGATAATTGCCTTCCAAGCAATAGACCCGGGTTCGACTCCCGGCAAACGCACATGTTTTAAATTTCCTTTTTAAAAGGAAAAACAAACGCCTGAAGACATTCAAACTGACATTTTAGCCCTTTAACCATCTCCATTAAAGATGATCTAAGCGGATCCTATCTAATAGCCCTTTAACCTTGTCGATTGAAGACGTATTAAGCGTAACTGCTTAGTTTCAAAGTTTACCATTACCATTAAAATTCCATCTGGACTTTTCTAACCTTCCAGGCGTAGCTTATCAATTTACCAAATGCTTCAAGGGCACCTTAATTACCGATCAACAACACACACCTTAATTTTACAAGCATAAGACTTCCTATTCACACGGAAGTTTCGGTTCCTATTGGTCAAGTACCCTAATAAGATTGAAGTGGCACATTTAGCTCCAACGATTCAGAAACCCTTAAAAATCATGTGGTATATGCAAACTTCTCGTTTAATATTTGATCTGGATTTTTTTTTCTTGGATTAAATGTCAAATAGTCCATGTGTTATAGTCATTTGGCCAATTTAGTTCCCGTATTTTCAGTAGGCCAATTAGTCATTGTGTTTATTTATGTTAGTCAATTATGGACAATCCATCCAATCTCTGTTTAAAAAGTTCATAAAAAATATTATAACTTAATATAGAAAAATATTTTTCAATTAAAATAGAAAAAAAAATATAATTTCATAATGAAAAAAAAAGGGATTAAACAAACTCACTATGTCATATGCCTTGTCCTTGACCCAACCTTAACCGCACACGCATGCAACTCGATGAATGCGTCTCTAGATCCACCTTGGCATCAACTGTCACCACGCGAGTTCCATCATTGTAGTCCTGAGAAAATTAACCCGACCAGCTCGTCTCCGACTGTATAATCAAGAAACATACCGCAATTGAGAGAGCCATATATTACCCTTTCTTTTTTTTTTTTTTTTTTTTTTTTTTTAATTTATAGAAAAATACAAATCAATAAGAAATAATATGTATAATAGATAAAACTTCCTATGTGAAAAATTATTAAGGTTGTGACATAGAATTTTTTTAGGGGGGGGTGGAAGAAAGCTAGGAGAGGAGAAACGATAGGAGGAGGTTGGGAAGTTGGGAGATGAGTAATTTTCTTTTTATTTTAATATTTTAATAAAAATGGGTAATTTTATAAATAGGTTTATAGTAGTTTATGCATTTTCTAACCGAAATTGGATGAAATATTCTTAATTAGTTAAAAAAGATGATTACGATGATCAAATTGGTCAAATTGAAAACACGAGAACTAATTGATGCAATGAGTATAACACAATTACCCTTATAGCATTTGAGGTTTTTTTTTCATTAATCATCTCTTCCCCCATAAATTTGTCCTTAAACAGACCTTAGAAAATATAAAATGACAATGATCCCCTACAATTAGCTAACATATCTTTTGTAAACAAAATTGAAAAAGACAAAGATGACATTGACTCAGTCGCCCAGTTCCCTATTCTGGTGTTCCCCTCTTGCCATGATCAATCTTTGTCCAAAGTCAACGCCATAATCTCCAAGCTCAATTCTTTACCCTTAATCCAGACCACAGATCCCAAATCGCCTTCCGGTCTCACTCTTCTCCCCCAATTCTCAAATGGGTCGGAAGCAAAACGACCCAGAAGCCACCCATTACTTCTCTTTCGTCCTCCTCTTGGTGGTTTTGGTTTCCTGTGCTCTGGTCTACACATTCGTCTCTGCGGTGCTTAAACCCAATGATGCCTCTTCATTCTCGGACGGATCCTCGGAGCTCGAGTCGTTGACGTTGGTTGAGAAGGGCGGCGGCGTTGGGGTGGAGGGGGAGAGTGGCGCCGGGTGTTGCAGAGGGACTGAGAATTTGGAACTGTGGGGGGCTGCTGTGAAGTGGGGTTCTGAGTTTAAGTTCAGTTCTTCTGAGGAATGCTGCAAGGCGTGTAAATCCATGTGTACTGGGACTGATGGGCCTTGCTTGTGTGATTCTTGGGTGTTTTGTGGGAACAAGGAGGCTTGCGGCTCCAAATTTGGTGAGGTAAGTTGAATCTGGGCACTGGAATTTTGCCCAAATGAATTAACTTTTGATTATTAATTTCGAATGTTTACGACGAATGTATCCAATTTATGTGTAAGTTTTGATTTGGATGGCATTATATAAGCTCAATAAGTCTTAATCTGTGCAATTGATTTCTTGAGCATATTTTCAAAGTCTGAAGAATAATTAGTCTGCATTTTCCTATTTGATAAGGTTGCATCTTTGGATTATGTTTTGTCAAATCTATTCCGTATTTCAGTACATTAACTTGAACTTCTTTTTGGTTGAAACTTTGTCACTTCAGTGCTGGTTGAAGAAACAGAAAGATACATTGGCACCGGAGCGCCAGGAAGTAGGGGAAACAGTTATGTGGACTTCTGGACTCATCTTTGGGAAAGGAGAGGTATGGAAGTTTGGGGAGCATTTGTTTTTATTAATTAATGTGGCTTTGTATACTGAATCTTGTAGTCGTATGTAAGTTTATTTGTTCCCACATGGAATGTTAATCAGTAGAACTGTTGGATTTTATGGAATTTCCATTATATCAGTTCCTACAAGAGGCAACTAGGTTTAGTTAAGTATGAGTTGGCAATCAGAACGTATATGGGTAGAACTTATAGTGGGGTTTTGGAAAACATGTAATTTCTGTTGGGCCTTGATAACAAATCCAGTCTTAAACTAAGATTTCTAGTAGCTATCCCAAATTCAAGATGATCGTGTTTTGCGTCTTCCTTGGAGAAAGAAGATAAAATAATTCCCAAGCATGGTCCTTGCAGATCAGATGATTCATATAATATACAAAAAGAAACTCTAGATAAGTGATTGATTTTTTTTGTCTTTGAATGAGATCTCAATTCCAGTGATGATTTCGGGTGGCCATTTTACCAGAGGTTTGTATTGTATCAATCTAAAGTATATGGGTAACCCAATAATGGAAGTCTCATTACAACAGATAAAAAGTTACTCTAGGGATAACAAGCTCATCAGGTTGTTACGCCTTTCGTGCAGGTCAGAACTTACCTAATTCTGATCTTGCTAATGATCTAGATTCATATCAGAATCCCTAAGTATAAAGTAAACTTTGTAGCAATTGAAGACTCATTCAGATAAAACAGAAAGAAGACTCAATATCTTTGCAGCCAGGATTTTTTACGTCATTCATGCCTATCAATTTGCACATGGAATGCAAATGTAAAAGTTTGACTAATATGCCTATCAACCTATTTTTTTTCCTCCTTCATTTTAGATCTAGTATGCTCATCTTGAGCGCATGTCCTGCTGCTGCTAGTTTCTCAGCTACTCCATGTGCATTAGTGTTGTTTTCAGTCTGCCAGAAAATTTTATCTCATTTCTCTCTTTGTTTTACGTGACTAGTTATTGCCACTTATATAATCGAAAATTCCCCAAAATAAGAAATGAAGCTAGAAAGATTTAGACAAAGAGGATAACGGGCTGAATGTGTTATTGTGTATAGTATGAATGCTTAACTTTCTTTGTACAGCAAACAGGCATGCCTAGTAAAGCATTAAGTTTTACCAACTTTCTTTGTACAAAATTTACTGCATTTTCCCCTAATGATTTGTGCCACATGCATTTCATGAAACGAAACTAAAGGTTCAATTCTCTAGATAAAAGGGCAGAAGCATCATTGTAGCTTTTACCATCTTAACAACTCCACTACAAAAAGTAATGCAGAGATCAACAATAATTTGACATTGGAGTTTGACGAGCAGTCAACAGAGAATGTATGATTAACTTAATATACTACTGGTGTAGATTATGTAGTCAGAAGTCAACCATTTTTGTAGATTATGTATCTTGATTTCTTTGTTTGTTGTTGGTTTTCCAGAAATTGGTTGTATGATGGTATGACCAACTTAATATGCTATTGACATGCCTATCTTTTCTTTTTCTAGGGCATTGTTGGCTTGGAAACAGAATATGGAACTCTTCATATAAAAGTAAGTGTTGGTGCCATCAGAATTTTTAACTCATTTTTTCTTATTTCGTTTTGGATACAATATATGAAAATGCTATTTGCAAATGGAATATGAATCGTTATGGCCAGAGGGAAATTTAAAATGCACCAGTCAGAGTGCAACCTCTGGAGTTAACTTTTGCGTACATGAATTTATGTTTGTGTTATTGTTGACCCTAGAAATTACAAAGCCTACGTGGCGCGCAGGCCGAATATATTCTAAGCTAACTACGTCCTTCGGTGATTGCGGGGCGTGCCAACTCGTCGGCCGAGGCTCGGCCGAGGAGTAAATTTGATGATGCTGCGTTGGGTCGCGCTACTGACTTCTGCGTCTTGCGATTGCGGCCGAGAAAGGAACGCGTCTCGGCCTCTTGGGTTCTCGAGCCTGAAGACAAGGCTGCTATTTCTTACAAAGTTCACGAACCGAATTCGGCTTACAATGTGCCGAATGTAATAACTGTAACACCTCACCTCGCCGAGAAGGCTAATGAGATGACCTCGACCAACAAGGATTCGAAAACCCTTCTCGACCGAGACTTGGATAGGCAATCGACCGTTCTCGCCGCAGTGCTGTTGATGCCAACGGAAGATACTGCGAGACCGACCGACTCTACGGTGACAGAGCTATCTATGCCGACTTAAGATATCACCGGTTGCTTCCACAGTGCTGTTGATGCCAACGGAAGATGTGTCAGCGAAAAAGGAAAAGAAAAAGATCTCAAGTTGTGAGAGTTTGCGCAGGGCAATTTTGTATTGATTTTTGTGGGGTCTTTCCATTGCTGAATGTCTTGTATTTATAGTAGCAGAACACCGAGCCCGAGTTCTAATCCTATTCGAACTAGGTTTCCCTCTCCGGATTAACGTTACCTCAATCAGTCCTATCTCTGCTAGGACTACGAATCTAGTCCTTAACTGAGCCGGATTCGCCTTCTAGTTTTACTGATCTCGTCGAGGGTCCCTATTGTATTAGGACTCGACTTGCACTCTGATTTAACCGATCTAGGCCTAGAAGCCCATGAGCTGAACGCCCCCATGACTCTCTCGCCGTAGGTCTTCTCGGGCCGAAAGTGATACCTCCCTCGGCCCAAACTGTTATTTTGGGCCCAAACATTGCCCCCTCGCTTTTGAGGTCCTCGGCCTGAAACCTTTGGCCGAGTTTCGGCCTTGAAGAAGCGAATCTACCACTCAGGATCCCAATACCCGAGTTCCAAGGCGCATTTATTGAACATGATCGCACGATCTTGATCCTGCTAAACCACTTGCCACGTGGCATCCCCTAACATGGCCAATCCCCGATAATGACGTCTGAAGCGTGCGCCTGCCCGAACCGTCTCGCCATTATGACCACTATCTCAATTCGCGAGCCATTTCATCAGTCCGTGAGCCCTCCTGTCATCGTGCAGGCGTCGAACCGTCTTTCGTCATTAACTTCGCCGTCACACGCGATCGTGCGCCCCCAAAACCTAAAACCGTCGGTCTTCTCAACCGCATTCCCCAAATGCTCATCATGATCAACGATTCCTCCGGTCGACTTTGCCCTTTGTTTTGAATTTCGAACGATTGCTCTTCCTCCCATTACTCTATAAATACCGAAATTTCCTCATTTGTACTTTACGTTCTCAAACTTCCTGAAATCTCCTACCCTTGCTCTCAAGTGCATTCCTCCATTCCAAGTTTTCGTCCTCAAATCCCCAACCCAGAAAACCTCCTTACGCTGTGCTTTTACAATGGCCTCCTTCATCTCCAAGCTTTCCCGGGAATGCGACCAGCATCAAAAGATCCTTGATCGGAGCTCGATCAAGAATATACGGTTCGAGAACGACATGAGCACTGTCAACCAAATCCTGGGTCCTCTCTTCAAGGCAACAATCCCGCCGACCATCACTGGTCTTCTCCTGGAACACTGCCTTACACCCTTGCTCCAAGGGTTTGAATGGTCGAGATGGGAGGCGGCAAAACCCCAAGGCTCCTGGCCCTCGACGACCACCACCTGGGCGACCTGGGTTGTCCGAATGGAACGGCTCTTCGGCGAAAAATGGAAAATCCTGGGTATCTACGACGCCATCCTCCTTTCGTCGATGGACATTGTCCCTGACAAGGAGCTGCTCCTAGCCGCTCTATGCTTCTGGTGCTCAGCCACCAACACAATGGTCCTTCCCCTTGGTCCCATTGGTCCCACCATCCTGGACATCACCGCCATTTTGGGGACCTCGGCCACCGGGATCCCTATCGACGCGACCCTCTCCGGGCACCCGTCGAATATCGATCTGAAGACGCTTTTCGACCGTCGAGCCTTCGAGACCCTGAACAGTGACGGTCACATCCCGTCGAGGGATGAGATACAGAAGCTCCACAAGAACTTTCTCAACTACAACACCCTCTACCTTCACTTCGCCGGTCGAGGGGAAGAGGACCTGCGAGAGGGAGAGCATGAAGCCTTTCTCTTCTACTGGTACAACAAATACATTTGTTGTACCAAATCAAACAAATGTTTGGTCGAGAATATGCCCGTGGCCGAAGCCCTGGCCAGTGGTCACGTCCTGGCGCTGAGTTCTAATATTCTTGCCCACCTCTTCCGTTGCCTGGCCGAGGCGACTCTCCACACGGTGGACCCCCACCAGAATGGCCCTCTCTGGGTCTTCCAGCTCTGGTTGCAGGTGTACTTCGCCTCCCTTCGGCCGGCTATAGCTGATTTCTCAGCAACGGAGGCTCTTGGTCCTCAGCTAGCCTCCCGACCAACGCCTCCTCATCAGGCCGAAGAGGTATTTAGGTACCTCTTTGCCCTTGACGATCTCTCAAGCGACGAATTCCTGATTTGTCGTCGTCGCGATTACCCCCCCTCCATCAGACTGCCTACCTCTACGTGGGCCGCAGAGGAAGATGCCGCTCTTCGCCAAACCTGGGGGTCGTTCGTGCTTGCTCGCGACCTTCCTCTCGGCTGCGACGGGAAACGGTCGGGGTGGGAAGTGTACCATCCGAACTTCCTTGCCCGTCAGCTCAGCTATCTTCAGGGCTGTCCCGTCCCCCTTCTCTCTTCCCGCACAGTATTGAGCCGCGGACGCGAGCCTCGCTCTTCAGAGAACGAGTGCAGGACTGCCGCGAAGGAGTTTCAAGAGTACTGCCAAAGATTTCGCCTACGACCGGCCACCCCAGAAACCCATTGCACTGACACCTTCGGTGAGTGGTGGGAAAATTACACTCAGGAGTTCTTCGGTGCGCCGGTCGAAGATGTACTAAGCAGGCTCTTTGGTAACCGACCTAAGAAAGCCCCGGCCCCCCACTCTCAAGGTAGTTGTTCAATTCCCCCTTTTTCTTCAACCTTGCATATTGTACGCCCTACTGAATTGTCTTTATCCTTTTAGGTAGTCGGCATTTGAGAAAGACAGAGGCAGTTGCCGCTGCTATGGCCGGGAAAAAATCGGTCGTGGCCAAAAAGGACAAACCTGCTGGTAGGGCCGGGCTGATCAAACGGCCTCGCCAAGAGGCCGGGCCGGCTATCGAGCCTTCCCCGCCTGCCAAGCGGGTCAAACAACTGGCGAAGAAAGGTGCACGGGAGATCCACGTTATTTCCAGCCACACGACGACTCCCAGTGCTTCCCCTTCTCCCGCCGCCGGCCATTCTGGGGTCAAGAAACAGCCGGCTTCGGCCATAGAGACGGTCCCAGCGCGGCCTGCTTCTGTGGCCGGCGAATCAGTCGTACCTCCCTCTGTCGAGAAGGCACCTGTCTCACACCAGGCGGTTCCTAGGACCGAGGAAACCTCTCCCAAGAATCCAAAGCCCACGGTCTTCGTGCTGGAAGAGAGTGAGGGGAGCGACGAGGTCCCGCTGGCGCGTCGTCCTCCTACTCGCCAACAAACTCCTCCAGTATCCGAGATGGCGGTTCAACCCGGCCCCTCCTCGGCTAATCGTGGCAAGCGCACGGTCGAGGAACCGACCCCGGCGGCCGAACCTCTCGTTCCTTCTCAAGACCAGGACGTCCCTGCCTCCACTGAAGCAGCTGCGCCAGTCGGCCCATCGGCAGCCGACCGTGGCAAACGCCTGCTCGAGGAACCCGAGGCCACGGCGGAATCGCCGATCCATCCTCAAGACCAAGGCTTCCACATCCCTCCACAAGAGGTTACCTCGGCTTTTGTAAGTACCTTCAATTTTCCTCCTGATTGCTTTTCTGCTTTAGAATTCTAAACAAGGAAAAACTAAATGTCAGGTGCCTGTACATTCTTTTCACCGTCAATTCTATGCGCCGAAGGGCGTTATCTATATTTCCTGGCCGCCTCAGTGGCCATCAAACGTAGATAACCTCCATCGGCCTCGTGAAGTGAGAAGCAATCTGAGACACTGGGCTCGGCCATTGAGTTCTTTAGGTTCGAGCAACGACCCTGGGGACATGGCCGAGGTCTCCTCTCGGCAGGTTAAAAAACGACACCTTCTTGCCATTCTTGTCATGACTTCCTTTAAGCTTAACCTTGTTTATTCGTGCAGGCTTCATGGGAGGTTGAATTCAAAGCTCTCCTCTCCAGCACGACTGCAGAGTCCGGCCCTTCGGCCGCTCCAACTGAGGCTGCCGATCCAAGCGCCCTAACCCAGTTGCGAGAAGTCCTGTCGCTCTCTTCATCGCAAGTACTTGAGCACAACGGTCTTGATCTGCTCGGCGTGTGTCTGAACGACCTTGGGGCCGACGGTCGCCTAAGCGGAGATGCCATTGTTCGGGCATCGTCTGCTTTGGAGCGCGTTCGGGAGACATTTGGCATCTTCCAGACTGCTCTGAAGGCCGAACAGGACCTGCAAGCCGCCACGGCCGTTCAAGACACCCTCCGTCCGAAGATTGACGATCTACGGGCAAAAGGAGAAGCGTTAGCCGAGCTCGACCGTCAGATGGCCGAACTAGCAAAACGCCGGTCGGTCATTGCTTCTGAACTTGCGAGGGACTTCGAGTCAGGTGGGAAGGATCGCCTAACTGAGTATGCGGCGGCCAAAAAACGGGT